ATTATTTCCTATTTTAGAATAATAAATGTTTTTTTATTTTATCTTGAGATTAAGTATTTAGAAACAATTTATATTTTTACATATACTATTCTTTAAAAAGGTAAATATAAAGATATACTTTTTTTATAATATGATACATATTTAAAATTAAAGGATAATATAAGGTTAAAGTGGAAACAAAATTGTCTTCTCTAAAATATGAAAAAATGACTATTAATTTAAAACAAATTCAAATTTAAAAATCCTATTATTTTGGAATGGAGAGAGTAATAAGTGTCTTTCTATTGGTTTAGCTAAATTTATACTCATTAATTTAAAAATTCTTAATTAAAAATAGTCAAGACTTCAAAATTTTACAATACAAAGTGTTATCGGCCACTCAAAATTTTAAAATTATGAAAAAAGGTTTAAAAAAATTAAGTGTGAAAAAAAATGTAAAAAAAAGTCATTACTCATTCAAATTATAAGGCGGAACAAATTACTTAAAAAAGCCTACGTAAATATCGAGGTTCAAAAATGCAATTAAAAGTGAGAAACAACATAGTACACCTCATAATTCTTCATATAAACACAGTTCTGTACTTTAAAAGGGTTTTTATTCAATTTGAAAATAAAGTGAACAAATTGTAACATTTGAAAACTTTGGGAAGGCTACACAAATCGGACTCCAATCGGTTAACCAAAAACCCTACATTTCCTTGTTATCGTGGAAATGATATAGATTGAGGTGAATGTAATGAACATTTCATGTATTTGCTAGCACGGGTTCTATTCTATTGTTAAAATTGCCAAAAAAAAAAAAAAAAAATAGTTGCTGGATTTGTTTCTTTCATTGGGGGTTATGTTTCTGGCTTGGTCAGACTCAGACCAACCCGCTAGAATGGTTTAATCATTAAAAAAAATAAAAAAATAATAAATGGATTATGGTAATTAACTTAATTTATAATTAATGAAATTAATTAATTTCAATTAAAATAAATTAATTATGTTTATTGGTTTTAATAAAAATAACTATATTTGTTTAATTATTTTAATTAGAGATTAATGAATGTAATTAATTCATTTTAATTAATTTTGATTAATGTTAAATTAACCATCTAATTAAGGTAAATATCATGATTAATTTATTTTTAAATTGCCTACTTTCCTTAATTAATGTCAAAATTACCCATGTAAATACAAGAGGCTTTGAGTAGAAATAATACAAAAGGTTTTGAGTAGAAATAATAGAAGAGGTTTTGGTGAGAAGAAATACAAGACGTTTTCTATGGTTTTGAGTAGAGGGAGTGGTTGTTTGGTGGTAATCGGTGAAGATGATGAGATCAGAAAGATGATCGGCGAAGATGGTGATGAGATGGGAGTCCAAGGGGCTGGGTAGAGGCTGACGGTTAAGAGGAGAAGAAGACTCTTCTTTTTGTCGTTTTGGCTACCGAACCCTCGTCTTACCCTTTGAACCGAGACCTCTGCTTGCTATTATGTTGCCAGGATTTTCTTAAGAAATGGAAAGGGCTCGGGACAATTTTGTATATGGACCGGACTTTTGTATGATTTTGAATTGGGTCTAGGTGCAATTAGGCCCCAATGAGAAAATGTTTTCCTTTTGTGCACATTTGATTTGATTCTTCTTTTTGCAAATTTCTTTACATAAGTTTGATTTTGCCATTTTTCTTGAACATTCCAACCCAAACATCATTCCTTTCACGGTTGAGCCTTGAAACCTAGAAAATAAGGCTAATTAAAATAATTTTAAGGCAAAATTTAATTTATTCATTATGTAATTAAAATATTTTTTGGACAAAAATTTAAGTTATGACACCAAGCAACAAACCTCAATACATATAGAGAATAATGCATATCAATCCCGACTCTAAAAAAAAAATTAGAGTTCTAATCTTAAATGACGTTATTTCATTTAATTAAAACTTAATTTAAAATTTAAAAATCCACTCTATTAAATTTTGATACATGAATTTGAAAATGGATTATACATTTTAAGATAATTTGTTGCTTAATGCAAGTATCAACATTATATATGGTGAAATTCTGAATTTTAAATTAAGTTTTAATTAAAAGAAACAACGTCATATAAGATTAAAACTCTAATTTTTTTATACAAGTCAAAATTGATATACATTTTTCCTATATATATAGGTCTTAATTAATAAAATAAAAATAACTAATCAATTAAATAATAGAGTTTACCTTTTAATATTTTAAATAAAATTACTTATGCTATGCTAATAAAAAGATAACTTATATTATGTTATTAATTCCAAATTTTCATCTCTTATAATTCTTCTCTTTTATCATTATTCCTACTCAATAGTCATCTTCCAAAATTTCATTGTAATTATGGCCTAAGGTGAAGGCATCTTTGTGCCAATGCGGAGGGAAAGTCCTCCACCGACAATTACGAATATTCGTTGTCTTTCCGTCCCAAAAAATGAAGCAAACCTTAAAGTTTAGCATTTGCACGTTCGTGCTAATTATATATGGACGTGGAAGACCTTGACTTACAACTTGTTGGGAAATTTACTTGATGGAATGACAACTTTTAGGTGGGAACTACGTTAGCATTTGCACTTTCGTGTAAGTTATGGACGGGGAAGTCCTTGACTTACAACTTGTTAGGAAAATTACTAGATGGAACAACTACTTCTAGAAGGGAGATGGAATTATTTTTTCGAGGTTTTTAATTAAGGTATGTTTGGATTAGAAGAAATAAAGGGAAATGATAAGAGGGATGAATTTTTTTATTAATAAGTATCTTTCTATTGGTTTACCTAAATTTATACTCATTAATTTAAAAAATCATAATTTAAAATAGTTAAGAGTTCAAAAGTTTACAATAGCAAGCAACAAACCTGTGTATATATATATATATATATACATACATATATATATATAGGATCACACATATCAACTCTAACTCTAAGAAAAAAAAATTGGAGTCATAACCTTAAATGACATTATTTTATTCAATTAAAATTTAATTCAAAATTCAAAAATTCACCATATTAAATTTTAATACATGAATTTGAAAATAAATTATATATTCTAATATAATTTATTTTTAAATATAGATATTAACATTATATATAGTGAAATTTTAAATTTTAAATTAAATTTTAATTAAAAAAACAACGTCACTCAAGGTTGAAACTTTAATTTTTTTTATATAAATCAAGATTGATATGCACTTTTTTTATATACATGGGTCTTAATTAATAAAGTAAAAATAACTAATCAATTAAATAATATTGAGTCTATATTTTAACATTTTAAATAAAATGATTTATGCCATACTAATTAAAAAAAAATAACTTATTATATCATATTATTGGTCATAAATTTTCTTCCCATGTAATTCCTTTCTTTTATCATTATTCCTACTCAATAGTCATCTTCCAAAATTTCATTGTAATTATGGCCTAAGGAGAAGGCATCTTCGTGCCCATGCGGAGGGAAAGTCCTCCACCAACAAGTACGAAGATTCATTGTCTTTCTGTCCCAAAAATGGAGCAAACCTTGACGTTTAGCATTTGCACTTTCGTGCTAATTATGGATGTGGAAGACCTTGACTTACAGCTTGTTGGGAAAATTTTTTGGATGGAATGACAACTTTTAGGTGGAAATTGAATTAGCATTTGCACTTTCGTGTAAGTTATGGATGGGGAAGACCTTGACTTACAACTTGTTAGGAAAATTACTAGATGGAACAACTACTTCTAGAAGGGAAACAGAATTATTTTTTCAAGGGTTTTAATTAGGATATTGTTGGTTCGGAAGAAATAAAGGAAAATGATAGAAGGGATGAAATTTTGTTTATTAATAAGTATCTTTTTATTGGTGTAGCCAAGTTTATACCCATTAATTTAAAAAAATTTAATTTAAAATAGTTAAGAGTTTAAAATTTTACAATACCAAGCAACAAACCTCAATATATATATATATAAAGGATAATGCATATCAATCCCAATTCTTAAAAAAAAAAATTAAAATTTTAACCTTAAATGATATTGTTTTATTTAATTAAAATCTAATTTAAAATTCAAAAATTCATTCTATTAAATTTTGATACATGAATTTGGAAATGCATTATATATTCTAATATAATCTATTTCTAAATACAAGTATGAACATTATATCTAATGGAATTTTGAATTTTGAATTGTGTTTTATTTAAAAGAAACAATGTCATTTAAGGTTGGTACTTCAATTTTTTTTTCATACAAATTAGGACTGATGTCAACTTTTCCAATATATATAGGTTTTAAATAATAAAATAAAAATAACTAATCAATTAAATAATATTGAGTTTACTTTTTAATATTTTAAATAAAATGGTTTATGCTATGCTAATAAAAAATAACTTATATCATATTATTAGTTCCAAATTTTCATCTCATATAATTCATCTCTTTTATCATTAATCCTACTCAATACTCATATACATGATGAACATCTTAGGTTTCACTATTGCTTTTCTAGATGAGAATTTTTGACTTGGTTTCAAACGATTAATGGACACAAAATTTCCAGGAATTTTTCTTATTAAATTGTGCTAGTGCAATCGGCCTAAAAGAAATAAGTTAGAGGTCATTTCTTGTAATTTATTAGAGGAAGACTTCGATGTGTTAGCGGAAGACTTCGTCTAATTTGCTATTTCTCCAAGAGCGCATTATTATTGTCAGTTCTCTTATGATAAAATCACTTTTCTATTCTACCATATTGGAAGGGAAATGCAATTTGACTGGTGTAAATTTATGTACGTTTCCTCGCATCTACACTATAATTGAAGTTTTCTTCTCTTTTCTTGGGTTCCTACTTGTAGATGAAGTTGACTCCAAGTTCTTCATTTATGATGCGTGAAAGTTGATACCTGA